GACAGGCATTCTAAGCAAAGGGAGTTACATAAGGGCGAGGAAGCCTTGAGAGCACGGCAGTAAAGTTATGTGGAGGGCAGCCAGGGAACCAACATAGGAAATGTGGTGTGAGGGCCGATCTTGGAGAGATTTGCACTTAGCCTGAGGTACTTGTAGGGTCATATGCAATTGGTGACAGATTCCCAGCAATGAAATACCTGTCTAAGACTTTCTCTTCACCATGCCAAATGGGCTTTTCTGCTTCTATCTCCTTAATGTTTTTCAACATCTCTTCAAGATGTTTTTGGCCACGTTTCAGAGCCGGCAAAGTGGAAGCCCAGAGACCTTAGGTCATTAGGTTACATGGAGGTTAATTAGTGGCAAATTTGGGGCCTACACCAAGGTCTCCTAATTCACAACTTTGGTCTTCCAGTCAATGGTCCAATATTTATTTGGAGCCCCTTGCACTTGATGTATTTTAGGAGAACTTTGGGATTTGGGTGGGGTAATCAGCGAAGTGTGAGTAAAATTTGGAGTGAAGTTTAGGTCATTTCTTCCCACTTTCTCCTTGTGGGGTTCCAGGGCAAGCAAGAGGCAGGCTCTGGAGCTCAGTGTGGAAAAGACTTGCCTAGGCTTATCCACGGAGGGAGTGGCAGAAACTGGGTTCAAACCCAGGACCTCCACCTGCCTTCTCTGTGAGATTTGTGTTGCACCTTGCTGGGTATCCAGGTTGCTTGCTGAGGCTACTGTGAAGCTACTGTAGATCAGAGCGAGCTCCTCGGGAGGCAGCCTTGTCGCCCAGATGGATCTTCGGAATCTGGTGCAGTGGGTAAGAGGATGCCGAGGCACCACTCTGCGTGAAAATGACAGAGCAGGAGGCCTGACTCTTGTGCTGTCTTACTCTGGCAGAGGAGTGAGCTCCGTGGTGCGCCGTTGTGTTCATCGAGCTACTGGCCATGAGTTTGCGGTGAAGATCATGGAGGTGACAGCTGAGCGACTGAGCCCCGAACAGCTAGAGGAGGTGCGAGAAGCCACGCGGCGAGAGACGCACATCCTTCGCCAGGTCGCCGGCCACCCCCACATCAGTGAGGCTGCCTTCCCTGCTCCTGTTAGCTGACAGCCACCTCCTGCTGGCCCTGCCCATAGCCCCGTTCCCCCCACACTGCCTCCATGCCTCTGCTCCCTTCGTCATGGCTCTGCTCCACCTCAAAGTGTGGCCAGCCTTTGGGTCCCTACTGCCTCCTTTTGGTTCTCCTTCCTTCCCAGTAACAGCCCACTGCCACCTTGGGGTGGAAAGCCCCTATAACATGCATCCGCTCCTTTCCATCTCCGTATTTCTACCTTTCTGCCTCTTTCCCAGTCACTCTCATCGATTCCTACGAGTCTTCTAGCTTCATGTTCCTGGTGTTTGATCTGTGAGTATCTCCCTGCCCTGATCTGAGAAGCCTCCTCCTCCCCTGCACGCGTGGCCCCAGCCTGACAGCGCAGTGGGCTAAGACTACCTTGCTCACACCTTCCTGTGCTCCTGGCTTTGGCCCCTCTCCCTGGGTGCCCTGATTGGGCAGGTTCTTCCAGAATGTTAGTGACCAGCCAATTAAAAAGGGTCTTCATGACCCAAGGGGCCACTGTCCCAGTCCCCCATGGTCGAAACGTTAGCAGGGAAGAAAAGGCTGTTTTAAGAGCTGGCCACTTATCAGCAGGTTCTTGCTCATCTGTCTCTCGCTGTTTAACACCCTACCACCTTACATGGTGTTTGACTCTGCCCGTCAATTCGTTTTCTGGGTAGTCTGAATCTGAGTGTGAGATGTTAGAAAATATAATGTAAAGCAGTGCAAAGGTACCTCAAAAGAGAATGGTTTAAATAGCAAATATTTAAGAGAGACCCTTGGAAAAAATTCACAAAGTCTTCATACAGAAATGACCCTCTGCAAAAGTTGGCCGGCGGGGAGGGGGGGGAGGTAGGAAGTGTCTGTTACCTCATCACACAATGTTGCAAAACACTGATATGCCCCCAGTCAACTCCGGATTTCAAGGACTGATGCAGAGTTGCAGTTAATAACCTCAATTTTTAAAGACAATATAAAATAAGCAAAATTCAAAATAAAGTCCTATTCAACTTTTTACTACTGTTAACTGTAAAATTTTGGTCATGGTCTAGATTCACTTTAAAAGGTCTTCTTCGAGTTTACTCTTACATAATAAGGACCTCCTATAAAATAATTGTTGCAAGAAGGTACTTATTCTTGCTAAAATAACCCTCTCATGGCACAGTGCATATATTTCAACTACCAATCCCCTGGGCCAAGCTGCCCCGGGCATCCAGTTCACTCTTGGAGCACTCTGTCTCAAGACCCTTTGTTTGTCTAAGAGGAATCTCTTTACTGGCCTCTTCCGTGGTATTTTCTGTGAGCCACTGGCTTATTTTCTCAGCCGCTTGTAAGGTACACCTACCTCCCAATCCCTCCTATCCCTTAGGATGCGGAAGGGAGAGCTGTTTGACTATCTCACAGAGAAGGTGGCCCTCTCAGAAAAGGAAACCAGGTAATGGCTGAGCCTGCGGCCGGTGGGGTGAGCAGGGGGCGGGGTGGGGCCGGGCAGGGAGAAGCAGAGGAGGAGACTGCACCTCCCTCAGGTCCATCATGAGGTCTCTGCTGGAAGCAGTGAGCTTTCTCCATGCCAACAACATTGTGCACCGAGACCTGAAGCCTGAGAATATTCTCCTAGATGACAATATGCAGATCCGACTTTCAGATTTTGGGTTCTCCTGCCACTTGGAACCTGGCGAGAAGCTTCGAGGTGAGGGGTCCTGGTGCCCTAAAAGGCTTGGGAGGGAAGGACACCCAGACCTGAGGCTGGTTAGCTGGGTCTGATAATTGAGTACCCAGGTAACCAAGCAAAGAGGAAAAGACAGTGAGCATTTGCCAAGTATCCTCTAGGTGCAAAGCATTGTATGTATCTCACAGTGGGCTTCCTGATCTGGGGTGGGGATGGGTGGAGAGTCATTTTCAAATGAGGTAGGCCTAAGATTTCCTGGAAGTATGTCATGGAATACAGTTTGGCAGTTGCTGGGATGAAAGAATTGGTACCTGAAGTGATAGAAGCAGCTAGGATCAATAATAGGATCAAGTCGTGGAGGGCTGTGCTTTAGGAGTCTAGACTTGAGCCCGAGACCACAACGGGGAGCCAAGGAAGGGTTTTAAAAAAACAAGGGACTTACTCAGTATGTGCCTTAAGAAATCCTATATTCCCACTCGTTCTCCTTGGTTTGAGTGGTGATCCTGCCACACAGAATAGAGTTTATAGGAGGAGGAGTCCACTTGGGCAGAAAGGAACGTAGAAAAGATTGAAGTTTTGCTTTCCATTTATGTTATACATGTAAAAACGTGGCACAAAGTTGTGTAAGGAGTGGGTAGGTTTGGTTGCAGGTGGCAAATGATATGCTTGGGGAAGACTTTGAAGTCCATCCAAAAATGAGGTTTTCCCCAGGAAGGAACCTTGGTGGGTATTTGGGTTGTGCAGCAAGGTTCGGGTCTAGTACTGCCCTCAGTGGAGGGCAGGCAGGAGCAGAATGGGAACACTTATGGTCCTGGCAGCGTTGAGGCTCCAGCAGAGGTCTGGAGTTAGGGGCCCTTGAACAGGCCCTTGAGTTAGGGGTCTGGTGGCATCCATCAATCTCAGCTCTCTCTCCCCAGAGTTGTGTGGGACCCCAGGGTACCTAGCACCAGAGATCCTTAAATGCTCCATGGATGAAACCCACCCCGGCTATGGCAAGGAGGTCGACCTGTGAGTTTATGGTCTCCCCCGCCTTCCTTTCTCCTTTGTGTCTTGTCCTTCAACACATTTGCCTAGCCCTGCCTGACTCTGGTCTCTTTCCCAGCTGGGCCTGTGGGGTGATTTTGTTTACACTCCTGGCTGGCTCGCCACCATTCTGGCACCGACGCCAGATCCTGATGTTACGCATGATCATGGAGGGCCAGTACCAGTTTAGTTCACCTGAGTGGGATGACCGTTCGGACACCGTCAAAGACCTGGTGAGCTGGGGCCATGAGAGGGTGAGGAAGGAGGCCCAAGAGCTGCCTCTCATGCTCTGGGGTTTCCCCTAGATCTCAAAGCTGCTACAGGTAGATCCTGAGGAGCGCCTGACAGCTGAGCAAGCCCTACAGCATCCCTTCTTTGAGCGCTGTGAAGGCAGCCAACCCTGGAACCTCACCCCCCGCCAGCGGTTCCGGGTAAGCCTGAGAGTGTCAGCATCTGGGCCTGTTCCTCTGTCCCATGATCATTCTCCTATGGTGGATGCCCCACTGGAGCTCACATTGCCTCTCCTTCCCAGGTGGCAGTGTGGACAGTGCTGGCTGCTGGACGAGTGGCCTTAAGCACCCAGCGTGTCCGGCCGCTGACCAAGAGTGCACTGTTGAGGGACCCTTACGCACTGCGGCCGGTGCGGCGCCTCATCGACAACTGTGCCTTCCGGCTCTATGGGCACTGGGTGAAGAAGGGTGAGCAACAAAACCGAGCAGCCCTCTTCCAGCACCAGCCCCCTGGGCCTTTTCCCATCATGGGCCCTGAAGAAGAGGGGGACTCTGCTGCTATCGCCGAGGACGACACCATGCTGGCACTGGGCTAGCACCTCAGCCCAGGGGACCCCCAGAAAGCAGGACTCTCCCGGAGGAGGATTTTTATCATTCCAGCCCTTACGGGCTCTGGCCTCAGGCCCCCCTGCCTGGCCATGCCGCCACTGATATATGACCATAAAGACCAGCCCTGTACACCTGTCCCCACCAGCCAGGGCTTTGGGATCAGAGCTAAGGTGGAAGGGCACTGCTGCTCACAACACCATGCCTAGCCTTGTCAATGCTGCCTGTGCTGCACCTGCAATAAAATCTGCTGCACGCCCGAGAGAGCCAGTGCCCTATGTCTGCTGTCTGGCTTCAGCGGGGAAGCCCAGAAGGTGCTCAGGAGGGGTGGGGGGGCGGGGATGGGGCTGCTCTGCCCCAGGCCTTTATTGGGGAAAATGCTGGGGGTCACTTGGTCTTGTTCTTGCCTTTGCCAGGAGGTAGCTGGAAGGGCCGCTCTAGGATGGTCAACTTGCTGTTGAGCCTTTCCTCGCTGGCTTTGAGCCGCTCCTCTATCAGCTGTTGGAGTTGCCCCAGCTCCTTGCTCATCTGGGTCTTGATGTAGGCTCGCAGGATGGAGACCTGGCCTGCAGGGCAAGGAAGAAGGGGCAGGTCAGCAGAGATGCCATGGGGCTGAGGGATTGCCCCTAGCTGGGCAAACACAACCTCCAAGGTGCACCTGGGGCTACACAGGTAGCAATCAGGAAAGGCTTCAGTTCAGGAAAGGTCAACTAGCCCTTCTGTGGAGAGAGGTGGGTGGACTGGTCATGCTGGACTCTCTGGATTGCTGATGAGCAGATAAGTGGCCTTACACAGGTGATTTAATCTTTGCATATCTCTGTTTCCTCCTTGTACAATGTAGATAGTGCTAGCACCTAGTGCCTAGGACTGAGGGAGGGTTAAATGTAAGATGCTTAACACAGGGCCTGCCTGGCACCCTGTTACTGCTAAATGTGTGCTGGTTGTTACTGTCATTGGTTTTATAATTATCCTTTTCTGGAGCTCCTCTTCTGTGCCCCCCCGCCCCCGCAGCTGCACTTTTATTACCTGGTTTGTCATCTTGAATTTCTGCGTAAGGAATCATTTGGAGAAAGGACACTGTGCCTAAAACAGACCTGAAGTCCTGATGTGGTCTAACCCCTTCATTTTATACTTGCTCCAAGTCACAGGGGAACCTAACCCTTCCAGCTCCTCACTTGGCTCTTGCTCTGGCTGGACCACTGTTTCCAGCTCCTCCTCCTGTGGGGTGACTGCCTGCTCTCCCACCTCCTCGCCTTCTTTCTCTGCAGGCCAGAAGCAGGAAGAGGCTTCAGCTTCAGCCCCAGCCCCAGCCCCAGCCCTAGCCCCAGCCCTCTTCCTCACCTGTCTCATCCTCTGGCCAGAGCTCAGACGGCTGTAGCCCTATGTAAGTCAAAGATAGGTCCAGCCTCACCTGGGAAGAGGGAGGAGGAGGGAGGCTGAGAGGAGGGCATCTGCACTGAGTGAAAGGGGGAGATGAGAGGTGGCCTCTGTACCTGGGGTGTGAAGACATATTTGTAGAGCTTGAAGTGGCGGAAGTAGGTGTTGACCACATAATCTGCCAGGGCAAGCAGCTGTTCCTCCCTAAAGAGGTTGATACTGAAGGGAGGCCGCTGTGGGGATGATTGGGAGTTAGGGGACTGACCACCCCCAGGAACCCTGACCTTTTCTCCAAGTGCCTGGCAGTCCAGGAGCAGGGAGAGCCCCTTGCAGCCTTCAGAGAAAGATGAGGGTGATGAGTGTGAGAGAGGGTAGGAGACTGGGCTAGACTTTATCTGGGGGGAGACTGAAGATTCCATTCCAGAGGAACTGACCCTGACTCCATGGCAAAAAAGAACACTGGTGAAGTAGCGGTAACATTCCTCCATGTTGCCCAAGGGGGTTGCTGAGGGGGGAAAGCAAGATGTGACAGTGAGTCCCCTCCCTGATATTCATTCATTTCACTCACTCACCAGCTACTTATTGCACTTTAGAAGTGAGCAAATCTAGGTTTAAGTCCTGGCTTATTTCAGTAATTCACTCAACAAATACCGAGTACCCCGTGCACTGTTCTAGGGCACTGAACAAAACAAACAAGGTCCTGTCTGTAAGTGACATACGATAAAATGAGAAATAGTGTAATTTCACCTCTTGTTAAACATTGTGCAGAAAAACACAGTTCTAAGAATAAAGTGGGGGGGGGGTGGTGGAGGAGGAGCTGTTTTATTGAGCACTGTGTGTATATTTACATCTATTACAATATTTCTCAGAACAGTCTCATGAAGTTGGTGCTGTATATAAAGAAATGGACGGTTTCAAAGCTGAAACAACTTGTGTGTGGTCATATTGCGTGTAATGACAGAACAAAGATTCCAAGGGAATCCAAAGATTCCAAGGGAACTACTGCTTCCCTTGGTCACTTTTGCCATCCCAGTCTCCTCTGTCCCCTGGGCTCAAACCCTTAGGTAGCCTGACCCTCTCACCCACACAGGCCTTGTGAAGATCTTGGAGCAGAGCACAAGCTGTTGATGTCTGTTCCAGTGAAAAGCCCTGCTGGCGGCAGAAGATGAGTGCATGGGAGAAAAGGTCCAGGATGATGGCATCCCGCAGGCTCTGCTCAGGAGAGCCTAGCCCCAACAGCTCAGCTAGCACCCTTAGGAGAGAGGAAGGAATGAGCGAGCCTCCCCACACCGATGCACCACATGCTCTGGAGTTGGGCATTCTTCCCGCCCTCCCAGCCCAGCCCTCTCAATCTCCCCAGGAGACAGCTTCTCTGCCCTTCCCTCATCCCCCCATACTCCCTCATCTCCTCAGTGTTGGTGGTCTTCTCCAGCCTGTGCATGGAATGGATGTCCAGGTACTTCCTGTTGTAAGAAAAGAGGTGAAAAGGTGTTGGTTGCCATTGTGCATTAGTCTCCTGGCAGGGCTATGATGGCTAGAGCATTGAACTGGGAATCAGGAGACCTGAGTTTGAGGATTAGCCCTTCCACTACTCTCTCTCGATCCAACTTTCTCCACCTTCAAATAAGGAATATGGCTTAAATGAACTCCTTTGGTCCTCTTCGTTTATAAAGCCAAGGATTAGGAAATTTAAGCCCTTGTCTCTGCCACTCCTCATGTGGCTTCAGTGTCCCCATTTATACAGTGCTCCACAGCAGTTGATATTCCATTTACATCCTTAGTCTTTGGCTCCCTTCTTCCCATCCTCCCTCATTGGACTGGGGAGGCAGGAAAGCTGGAGATCTAGTCATCTTGGGTAATTGCAGTTTCCTCATCTGTAAAATGGGTAATGCTCTAGCTGTTTGACAGAACTTTGGGGGAAGAATAATGCAAATGTAAAGTGTAACTTTTTCCCCAAGGCTCTTCACACTCACCACATGCAGATCCGGGGCCGGGGCAGCGGCGGCTGCGGAGAGAAAGCGGATTGGGCAGGCAGAGCTTGTCCCTGGCCCCAGTCCCTGACCTGTCGCGGATCTCCAGCTGGCCTAAGAACCCGCTAACTTGCCTTCTCATCTTAAAGATTATGTACGAGCAACGCCGGCAGGCCAGGCTTTGATAGGCCCTAAGTACCATTCATGAGCATTTAACAGTCGGAGTTACACACCCCCGCCTCTTCACCAAGGCACCCAGGAAACGTCTTGAACTTTAATAAACATAACAGCGGGTGGCGCCCTGCCGGGGAGCCCTTTTACAAACATTCATGAGCGGACCACTCTGTCCCGCCCTCACCGGGAACAAGTTGGCTGCAGGATCTTCATCCGCTTCTACCGAGGCCGCGGTGCCGGACTCAGGCCGCACACCTGTTGCTACCCGCATGACGGACTCATCCAATGAAGTGAGTTCCCTCTCGGGTTCCCGCTGCAGTTCGGAGGACTGTTCAAGCTCCGACTGCATCTTCAGTCCTAGGAATTGGCTGGACTTCTGACGGATCATCTCGTCGCTCCTCTTTGCCGTGGGTCACCACTGGCTCTGTCCCGCCCAGGTCCTGGGAACGCCGGTCCTCGGGCAGCGACTGCCAAGGCCTGGCTCTCTAGCGACGCCTCAGCCAATCGGCGCCGTAGAAAGACAGGGTGCAGCCAATCCGCAGGGGGCGTCTCCCTCCGTTTCAACGGCGACCGTTGCTAAGGGAGCTTGTGGAGGGAGGGAGGAAGTGTAGGGCGCGCGCCAATCAGTAAGAAGAGAATGCGCATGCGCAATAAGTTTCAAGCCCCGCCCCCGCGCCCTCCCTTCAAAGTGGCTGACCTGAGGCAGGCGATGCCCTTAGGACTAGGGAATGTAAGTGCGGTGTCAGTTACCACGGGAACTGTTTACTGGCCAATCGCCGAGAGAAAGAGGAGGTGTTCAGAAAGAAACCAAACGGGACCCTAGAGGTGGGACAAAACGCGACCAATAGAAACAGGAAATGAAGTTTCGCCACATCCGGCATTGCCTGCGGCGCTTGCGCTCTGGGCTGAAGAGGCCGGTGACGTCCGGTGAAGTCCAAGATGGCGCTAGGCTGATCCTGCTGCAGGTGAGGGGCCCGGGGCTGGCGGGGGCGAGATCCAGCAGGTGTGTGCGGGGGTGCTTGGGGCTGCGGAGCGCTGGCAGCCTCCACATCTATGCTCTCTGTCTTCTGCAGGTGACAGAAGTGCCACCCACGCCTGCCCGACGTCCCTCGGGAGACCCTGCGCCGCTCCTCGTCTCCGCGGCCATGTCTGGACCCGGCAACAAACGCGCCGCCGGCGACGGGGGCTCAGGGCCCCCAGAGAAGAAGCTGAGCCGTGAAGAGAAGACCACAACCACGCTCATAGAGCCCATTCGTCTTGGGGGCATCTCTTCCACGGTTCGTGGCTCCTGCCCCAGTCCTCACAACTTGCCAGACTCCCATCTTTGTTCTCCGTCCAAATCGTCCAGAATTTTACTCCCAGTTGCCCAAGCTTGGCACGGTTCACTTTACAGAACACACTGTTGAAGGAAACGGAGGACACGATTTTTGCCTTCCTTTTACAGATAAGGGAAACATGTTCCCAGGGGGCATATGACTTGTCAAAGACTTGAGAGTTAGAAAGAGGTAGTAGTAGAACTCACAACCAAGATGCTTTCTCTGTGGGTGTCTGAGCCTCTTTAAATCCTGTTAGCGGTTAGTCTGGGGATTTTATCTTCTCCATTCCAGTTGCTTTCCTTTGTTTCTCTCTGTGATTGGTTTCTTGGGCCCTGCTTGACCCTCTCCTTGGCCCCTTTGTTTTCCTTGGTAGGAGGAGATGGACCTGAAGGTTCTGCAGTTCAAGAACAAGAAACTAGCAGAGCGGTTGGAACAGCGACAGGCTTGTGAAGATGAACTCCGAGAACGAATTGAGAAGCTGGAGAAGCGGCAGGCCACAGACGATGCCACACTTCTCATTGTCAATCGCTACTGGGCCCAGGTGGACGCCCCTCTGCTTTCCAAGACCTGGCCTTGATCCTGCTGCCAATCCTCAGACTCCTCTGCTGGGAAAAGGGGTATCATGCTGGGAAGCACCTGAGGGATTTGTAACATTTTTGGTGCTTTCTCCCTTCAGCTGGATGAAACCGTGGAAGCTCTTCTCCGACACCATGAGAGCCAGGGGGAACTGTCTTCAGGGACAGAGGCGCCTGGGACCCAGGAGGGACCGACACGTGATGAGACCCCTGTCACAGAGCCAGGGACATCGGAGCTGAGGGGTAGGACCGGAGCCCTAGGATCTGGGGAGCTTAGTTAAGCTAAGAAAGGTCCTGGAATGGAGGGGACTTTTATATTAGTCTCTCGAATTTCCCGCCTGTCTTCTCACTCGTGCACACACACACACACACACACACACCTGATTTCATGTTTGGGTGGCAAAAGTCCAGTGGATAAGACCCCAGGCCCCGGGCTTTGGAATCTGAGTGACTTGGTTCATAGTGCGTGTCATGTTTGACACTCATTTAGTTGAAAACTATTAACATTGAGTACTGGTACAGCCTCAGAAGAAACAAAGACAGGAAGAAACGTTGGCCCTGACCTCAGGGAGGAAGTGATTTTAAGCCATGAGTAAAAAGTACAGGGGCCCTTGAGAGGGAATCAGTGTATGCACACATGTGTGTGGTTCTAATTTAGATGGAGAAGGCTTCCCTGAAGAGTGATTTGGGAGCTTTGTGGCCTTGAATAAGTTATCTCTCTGAAATAAAGTTGTATCACTTTGAGGATGGGGATACCAGTGTATTACAGGCATTGCGTGTGTCAATTCAGTGAGCCGTAGAGTGAAGGGCTCAGGCTGGAACATCGTATGGAGTGGTGGTAATTGCTGCTGTTATCCTCACAAAGGTCTGTCCATCCCTCGCAGAGCCTCTGCCGGTGCAGCCGCGGCCCCCTCTCAGTGAGCCAGCCTTGGCTTTTGTGGTAGCACTGGGCGCCAGCAGCAGTGAGGAGGTGGAGCTCCAGCTGCAGGGCCGGATGGAGTTCTCCAAGGCAGCTGTGTCCCGGGTCGTAGAGGCCTCAGACCGCCTACAACGCCGGGTGGAGGAACTCTGTCAGCGAGTATATAGCCGAGGTTGGTTCTTCCTTCCCCATCGCATGGGTGTCTACCCCCATTTGCATCTTGATTATATCCCCTCAATGCCCCAAGCCCAGAGGCAGCCATAATTCTCCAAGGAATAAATCAGCCACGTTCTCAGGGAAAGGGGTCGGTTGTAGATGGGGCCCTGGCTCTGATTCCTGGGGTTGAACTCTAGAGAGATGGGTGGGAGGAGTTGTCGATGCTTATGGGGCCCCTGCCTTCCAGCTGGAGACCTCTTTGGAACACTTTGCGCAAATTTTGGTGGCGGTTGTTGATCCGCAAGGCATAGTAGCAAGTGCCTTGGCTTTGCAGGTTGACAGGCTTCTCCCAGCCCTAGTCCTGTTGTTCTAGCCTGGGCGTTCTCAGTAAATGGCTCTCTTCTCTGAGCTGGTTTCCTCCTTTGTACAGTGGGGATAAAGACTCCTGGCTTTGTCATGAGAGATTGGCAAGACAGCTGGTGGATCACATGGGCGCTCACAGAATGAGTTAGTACTTTGCCCCATTGCCTTGGACTTCGCTCTTACCCGAGCCCTGCCTTCCCAGGGGACAGCGAGCCCCCCAGTGAGGTGGCTCGGGCGCGCACCCGGGAGCTGGGTCGTGAGAACCGGCGACTGCAGGACTTGGCCACCCAGCTACAGGAGAAGCACCACCGCATCTCATTGGAGGTGGGATTAAAACCGGGGCAGGATTTGGGTTAGATGGGCACCCAGGATCTCAGGGAGCCAAGTCCCTTGCTCTAAGCGTCTTCCCTATCATTGTCTAGTATTCTGAGCTCCAGGATAAAGTGACGTCAGCAGAGACCAAGGTGCTAGAGATGGAGACGACGGTGGAGGACCTGCAGTGGGACATCGAGAAGCTGCGCAAGCGTGAGCAGAAACTCAATAAGCACCTGGCGGAGGCCTTGGAGCAGGTGGGGCTAGGGTGCTGGGTCAGATGGAGCCAGGGCTAAATACTTGGAGTCTTGCTTCTCTCCTCCACTCCCATCTATCTGTCTCTCCACAGCTCAACTCTGGCTACTATGTGTCTGGGAGCTCCTCAGGTTTCCAGGGGGGCCAGATCACACTCAGCATGCAGAAGGTGAGCAGCCGCCATTCTTGGCAGCCCCTTCCATAACCTTTTATCTACCTTACCCATGAACGTTCCCTCAGAATTAAGGACAGACCACCCACATGGTCTCTGAGGCCCTTGCCTGTACTCATGCTGCTTTGTCTCATTCGTTTACATATTCAGTAAATACTGTTGAATGCTAAATGGTAGAGACTGCTAGGAAGCAGGCATATCAGAGGACAATATAGACAGAAATCAGAGGTTTTTTTGGAGTTTGGGTTCTGGTTGAGGGAGCAAATAAGTACGTAGTACATAAGGTGGCGATAAGTGCCTCAAAGAAAAAGCATAGAAAAGAGACCAATGGAAATATGTTGGAGCTGACTGGCGTTCTTAGCTGGGTAGCTGAAGAAGGGCCTCACTGAGCGGGCTCTATGACTTCTTGGTCGTTGCACTATTTTGTGGTCCTGTGAGGGTCATTGTTTCCTGTGAACTCTTTATTTCAGCTTTTTCTTCAGGTGTTTCAGGAAGCCTTCCCTGACTCCCTGTCAGCCTTGGTTGCCAGCACTGACCGTGCAGTATTTTCTCCCACTTACCTGGGAGCCCTTAGGAAAGTGCTTGGGTTTGGCCTGTCCTTAGGGCTTCAGAATCCATCATTGTCCCCGTGTGGTGGGGATGGGAGGGAAGCATGCATTCTGGCCTGGCCCTACCTGCCATAGTCCCTCCCGCTCCACAGTTTGAGATGCTGAATGCAGAGTTGGAAGAAAACCAGGAATTGGCCAACAGCCGAATGGCAGAGCTGGAGAAGCTACAGGCCGAGCTTCAGGGGGCTGTGCGGACCAATGAGCGCCTCAAGGTGGGCTGTATTTAGGCCTGGTAGGGCCTGAGCCTGCCAGGTAGTTGCTGGGCCCTGAATCCTCCTGCTGATCACTTTTGGGCACCTTGCTCCTAGGTAGCCCTGCGGAGCCTTCCTGAGGAGGTGGTGCGGGAAACGGGGGAGTACCGGATGTTGCAGGCTCAGTTCTCACTGCTCTATAATGAGTCTCTGCAAGTGAAGACCCAGCTTGATGAGGCCCGGGGTCTGCTGCTGGCTACCAAGAATTCCCACCTGAGACACATTGAGCACATGGAGGTATGGCCCTGGAACAGACCTTAGGGTCAGGGCCTTTGGAGGCCTTGTGTGCTACCAGGGATCCCTTGGGAATAAATTCTTCCTAAGCCACTGAGGCCTGAGGTGGGGGGGAAGAAGAGAGGGGTTTGCCAGGGGCTAAAGGGTTGTATGGGTCCTTAACACCTCAACCTACAGAGCGATGAGCTGGGGCTACAGAAGAAGCTGCGCACAGAGGTTATCCAGCTGGAGGACACGCTGGCCCAGGTACGCAAGGAGTACGAGATGCTGCGCATCGAGTTTGAACAGAACCTGGCGGCCAACGAGCAGGCGGGTATGTGGTGAAGACGGGGTGGAGGTGGAGCCTTATCTGGGATTGCTGGTCCCTGGTGGGGGGCTACTGCTTATCCAGATGCAAGGGGTTAAGCCCCTTCCTTTTGCAGAGCCTCCTGTCCCTGGCCAAAACAGGGATCATAGCACCTGGCTCAAGGGCACAGTGAGGGTCACAACCAGCTGAGGTGGCTGATGGAGCAGGCACAGCCAGAACATGAGCTGTTGGCCCTGTCTGTGGTTCTCTGGCCTTACAGTGTCTCTCTCTTGGAGGTATTCGTTCATTTGTGGATGTATTAAATCTGGCTCTCTTCCAGGCTTTGGGATTATATTAGTAAACAAAATTCAAAGCATGTTTGCTATTGTGGCCTAGTAGCGTAGTGGGGAAAGACAACAAAGTAAAAAATAGAAGGTGTATGTTACATAGTGGCAAATATATCAAGAGAAATAAAGCAGGGGAGAAAGATATGAAGTGTTAGAAGATTGTGGTTTTGGATGGGGAGGTCAGAGAAATGAAACTCAGAAGATGACATCTATTTAAAAATATGAAAGAATCAGACTAATTTACTTCGATGAATGTTACAGTCGTGTGCTCCTTTGAAGGAAATTTGGAAATACCAAAAGTCTACATTAACAGAAATAACATAAACAGGAGGTTTGAGAGTTTTCTTCTAAGCCTAGGTTATTACTTTGATAAGGTCACACTCCGTACAGGGCCTCAGTTTCCCTCTCCTTCACAATGGGAGTGATGGCTTTGGCTCCCCTTCTCCCACCACGGAGGAGTTGGGCTCTTAGCCCAGAGGCCAGTCTAACCCCTTACTTTCCAACCCTTCCCCAGGGCCCATCAACCGTGAGATGCGCCACCTGATCAGCAGCCTCCAAAACCACAACCACCAGCTAAAGGGGGATGCCCAGCGATACAAGCGGAAGCTGCGGGAAGTGCAGGCTGAGATTGGCAAGGTGAGGAAGGGGATGCCTCGGAAAAGCCTTGGCTAGACCCCAGTAAGCACTGTCTCACCTCAGCCCTGTTCTTTATCTTTGCAGCTCCGGGCCCAGGCCAGTGGCTCAACCCACTCCATTCCGAACCTGGGCCACCCAGAGGACTCTGGCCTCAGTGCCCCAACCCCAGGGAAAGAAGAGGGTGGGCCAGGCCCTGTCAGTGCCCCTGACAGCAGAAAGGAGGTGGCTTCAGTGCCTGGTGCCACCACTGCTGCCTCCTCAGCAAAGAAAGAGGAGCTGGCCCCCTCTGAGGAAGATTCCCAGGCCTTAACTCCTGGGTCCCAGGGCCCCTCCTCCCGGAGCCGAGAACCTGAGGCCAGGCCCAAGCGGGAGCTTCGGGAGCGGGAAGGGCCTGGCCTGGGACCCCCATCTGTAGCCTCAGCTCTCTCAAGAGCTGATCGGGAGAAGGCCAAGGTGGAGGAGGCCAAGAGGAAGGAGTCAGAACTCCTTAAAGGTCTCCGAGCAGAGCTCAAGTGAGACCCTGTTTTTGTCTCCTTTCCACCCCTGCCAAAGTGGCCTCCGGCCCCAGTCACCAAGCCTTCCTCCTGTGCTTCTCCAGGAAGGCCCAGGAAAGCCAGAAGGAGATGAAGCTGCTGCTGGACATGTACAAGTCAGCACCCAAGGAACAGCGGGATAAGGTGCAGCTCATGGCAGCCGAACGCAAGGCCAAGGCTGAGGTGAGGGCAGGTAGGGCCTGTGGGGCATACACAGAGGCTGCCCTGGGGGGTTCTGACTAGAGCAGGGCCCTAGGTCAGCAGGAAGCAGTGAGAAGAGCTAGCTCTTTCTTTCTGGTGGCTGTAGGTCGATGAACTACGAGGCCGCATTCGGGAATTGGAGGAGAGGGACCGAAGAGAGAGCAAGAAAATTGCTGATGAGGACGCCCTGCGGCGCATTCGGCAAGCCGAGGAACAGATCGAACACCTGCAGCGCAAGTTGGGTGCTACCAAGCAGGTATGACCCCCTTGTGGTCCCCTGCTTCTGAATATTGGGATACCCTTAACTCCTTGATGGGTACTCCTAGCAGATGCTCTGGGATCACTCTGTGATCAGTCCTTTTTTCCTGTGGTTTGCCCACGATCATCGTGTCCATCTTCCGTTTTCCATCTTGTCCCTGTCCACCTGCTGCAGGAAGAAGAGGCTTTGCTGTCGGAGATGGATGTGACGGGTCAGGCTTTTGAGGACATGCAGGAACAAAATGGGAGGCTGCTACAGCAGTTACGGGAGAAGGATGATGCCAACTTTAAGTTGATGTCAGAACGGATCAAGGCCAACCAGATTCACAAGCTACTGCGGGAGGAGAAGGATGAGCTGGGCGAGCAAGTTCTTGGCCTCAAGTCCCAGGTATGGCAGCCCTGGGCTGTAGGGTGGAGCTGGAGAGGCACCAGCTCCCTAGCACTGAGTCTCCACCCCTGACCTCAGGTGGATGCCCAGCTGCTGACCGTGCAGAAGCTGGAGGAAAAAGAGCGGGCCTTGCAGGGCAGCCTCGGGGGTGTAGAGAAGGAGCTGACGCTGCGCAGCCAGGCCCTGGAGCTCAACAAAAGGAAGGTGAGGCCAGGCCCGAGGGCAGAAAGCAACCTGGGATGGTGGCTCACAGCTAAAGCCCTGCTCTACCTCCTCTCCCGGCCCAGCTCACGTCTCCAATACTTATTGTGTTCTAGTTCCTGTGCTAAGGCCTGTCTATGCTGGGTTGCATTTTGGTCTTATAACAATCGTAAGATGGTATTTGTTATCTGTTTTTCATAACTTAGGAAATTGAAGCTCAGGCAGAGCAACTGACTTGCTCAAGAAAGAGTGGACCTGAAATTGGGGCCTGGATCTCCTTGGCTCCAGAACACACCTTTTTTTTTTTTTTTTTTTTTT